TGCTAGCACTACAAGGTCAGAGCAGGATGTAGAAGAAGAGCTTGATTACTTTCCAAAAAGTGTAGAGACCTCTCTTGTATTTGAAAGGATAAATAACATTTATTTCTCACTTTTCTGATATTTGGAGTTTTGCTTTTCCACCTCAGAGATAGGCATCTGCTGGTTGTTGACAGAACTAACATTTCTGCCCTGAGAACCTTCCAAATCAGTAAATGAATCTGTATTAATTCACTGATTAACTGCATTCAAGTAAATGCAATTAATGCAGTCAGACCCTAGGAGTGCAGGACATGTTCAGATCATCCTCACAAGTTAGTTTGTTTTTGAACACCTAAGACTATAGAAGTCAAATACGTGTGGTATAAGGGCACATTTAAATAGGGATAATCAGTGTAGATGGCAGAACTTAGCTGAACTTAGCTGAACTCAGAAAAAACCTAAACTGGATAAAGCTGATTAATAGTTGGATGGCAAGGACAAACAACATAAAGCCTGTAGACTAATGGAAATTTTTATAAAAGTCTGGAAGACAACAATGGCAAATAATTTCCATAAGACAACTTTAAAAAAAAAGACATGGAAGTATCTCTATTCAGGAATTAACCTTATTTTGAGGAGGCTGTATCTTTGAGGCTCCTCAGATTAAGCTAGTAAGACCACACCTAGAGTACTGCATCCAGTTTTGGTCACCACACTATAAAAAAGATGTTGAGACTCTAGAAAAAGTGCAGAGGAAAGCAACCAGGATTCTTAGGGGACTGGAGACTAAAACATATGAAGAACGGTTACATGAACTGGGCATGGCTAGTCTAGTGAAGAGAAGGACCAGGGGAGACATTATAGTAGTCTTCCAATATTTGAGGGGCTGCCACAGAAAGGAGGGAGTCAAGCTGTTTTCCAAAGCACCTGAAGGCCAGACAAGGAATAATGGATGGAAACTGACCAAGGAGAGATTCAACCTAGAAATAACAGTGAGAACAATCAACTAATGGAACAGCTTGCCTTCGGAAGTTGTGGGAGCTTCATCACTTGAGACTTTCAAGAAAAGATTGGACTGTCATTTGTCAGAAATGGTATAGGGTCTCCTGCTTGAGCGGGGGGGGGGGGAAAGGTTGGACTAGATGACCTATAAGGTCCCTTCCACTCTGTTAATCTGTTAAACTCTAGACCTGATGGTCACAGAATTTATACATTTCATACATTTTAATAGCCAGTATTTTATTATTTTATTTTGACCAGAAACCAACAATTTAATATCTGTAAGCCCACTGAATGTACATTCTGTCAAGATGAAGATTATACTAGTCCTAACCATTCAGTTGTAATTCCTCTTTGATTGTACTCCTAATCTATAGGTAAATTTTCATTGTGATTCCTTCCTTAACTCAATTTCTTATATTCATTCTTGGATCCCAGCTCTCTAGATGTCATCTAACCATATAGAGAACCACAAGTTCTTAGTTCTGTTTTAAATGACATTGGCAACTTTAATAGTGGAGCACTGAGTAAAGCCAAGAGTTGAGCTTGATCCTTTTAAAGGTTCATGAGGACAATGAAACGTTTCTCCAAGGAAAGCTGAAATTACAGGATGAATGAATTAATAAAGGGTAATCTTTGGGATTACCAAATTTATCATGTCTTACTTTGATGAAAGGAGATGAGAAAGAGAAGGAATGCTTTATACTGTACATCCTAACACTAACATAGCTCTTTAGTCATAACTTGAAAGCAGGGGTGGGCTTCAAAAATTTTAGCAAGGAGTACTCTGCCCGGTTGCTGGGTGAGCGTGGCCATGGTGAACCTAGTCAGCCTCCTGCATCATGGCAGGGGGGTCATTTTTGTCCTCCCCGGGCTCCAGAGGCTTTCCTCAAGCCTCCAGGAGGGTGAAAACGGCCTCCCCAGGCTCCAGAGGCCCTCTGTAGGCTGGAAACTGGCCTGTTTCTGGCCTTCCCAAACTTCCAGTAGGCCCATTTTTCACCCTCCCTGAGCTTCTGTGCATGCCCTGCACTTATCTGCATCCAAAACGGGCTGTGTGGGGACTCCTGGGAGGGGCAGAGTGGGCGGGGCCAGCCAGGAGTGGGATTTGGAGGTTCGCTGAATCTTAGCTAGAGGTTCTCCCAAACCCCTGAGAACCCCCAACAGTCCACCCCTGCTTGAAAGGCTTGATCAGACATTGTTTTGACATATTTTCATGTTTTTTTTGTCATCCCAAAATCTTACGGATTTTAAGTTTGATTTAAAGAATCTATTGATTTTGAAAATGCTGAATGTCGAATCTCACATTTGAACATGCATGGGCCTGTTTTATAGCAATCACTCTGCAGACTAGACAATTACTAAATATATGTCTACCGTCATCTACCATGTATGGATATATTTACATCTGAAGGCAAATAGGTTTGGTATACAGTATTGATGCTACCAATTTTGCAGAGTGCTGGTCAGTGACAGTGCAGTTTAGCCATACTGATTATTTGATAAAATATCAAATACAGCTAAGGTATATCATACCAGACAAACTAATGGTCTCTCTCTGGTCACTGAGTAGATATAACCAATCACCCAACATGACCAGAGGCATCTTCAGGGAGAATAAAAAGGTCAAAAGGTTGTATTTGCATTATGAAAGCCCTGCCACCTTTTATGTACTGCATGCCCCCTTGTTAAAAAGGATGAGCTTCAATAAGTTGGAGGTAACCACCATCTTGATTTTTTTTTTTCATCCCTGCCAAGGAGTCCTCTGAAGAGGAGATCAGCTGATTAATCCTCTGGCTTCTGAAAAATGGTTTATTAGCCCATTATAGCTCCCACTTATTCTATTAACAAATACCTTTGAAAAATGTGTTTTCTATCCTGGAAATATCTTGCCCTGTGTTTTTTCAGTGTGAGATTGTGTGTGGGTTTGTGCACACATACACACATATGTACTCTGTCACTGTACAACGCAGCAATTTTCCAGTTATGAATCTATTCTGAAGCACTTTTTAAATCTTTTTCTCCTAATTGGAAGGGTGTAGGCTGTAAAACATGTAGGGAGTCAATTGTAGGTATTATCCACCAAACACGGATGTTTATTTTGCTCTCCATCTGCCAAAAATGTGATTTCTTTTACTGCCTGGCATAATGTTCTTGGCAGTCTCCTCTCACTGAAACCAGAGAGAAGTTTCATCTGTGGGAGGAACTAAAACATCCCCCCCCCCTCCATTCCATCAGTGGAAAGTTCTCAACTCTGCACCTCACTGAAGGCAGTAGGAAAACAGGTCTGAAAATGAATGAGCCCAAGAAGGTCTGAGACACAAGTAAAATAAGAAAGGCCAAAAAATAATGTGCCACATAAAAATGTTAATTTTGGGAGGAGGGACTCTGAGCAGAGTGGGCTTTTATCCAAGTCATACCAGGAACACTAAGTCAGAGGTTAATAATGCTGGTACTATTAGAATATGCGCAAATAATTCACTGTCCTCTGTTTTTGGGGGGGGGGGGTGGATTATAGCAGCCTGCTGCTTCTTGTGTAGAATGCTAGCATGCTCCCCAAATTTGGTATGCAATAAGGGAGCGTTGCAATTTGGCCTCAGGCAGTGAAGTGTCTCGCACCTTGCCCACTGTAATTACACAATAATCAAAATGAAAATGTTGAACACTTAATTGCATCCATTGGACAACCGAAACATCCTGCAATTTCTACAGGTCTAACCAGGCTCTATCACACACTTTCTAACCTCTATCAATGTATATCGTGAGCTCTATGAAGTTATAAGCAATACACATCTGGGTCAACGTGGATCAGTAATCTGTGAAAGAGCCTCAGCATGACTTAATGCTGCTAATCAGCAAGAATCATGCAGCTACATTGAAAAGATATAGCCAATTACTTAGCTCTGTTCCAGCAAAGTTGGCTGGATGTAGCAACTGCCAGATTCCTTCACCTCAGTACAGTTACCACAACGTAATTTACTTTGTTTTTGTTTAGTATGTTTTGAGCACATAAGCCACTATGATTTGTAAGCCATGTTTGATGGCTAGTGCCTTTGTTAAACCCAAGTAACGATTGCTTTTTCATTGTGCTATAGTTAAACACAAAAGAATACTGATTCTTTGTTTCAAGTACAGGTGGCCCTCAACAGTTCATTTAGTGACTGTTAGAAGTTACAATGGCACTGAAAAAAGTGACTTATGACCATTTTTCACACTTACGTTTGTTGCAGCATCCCGATGGTCACATTATCAGAATTCAGACATTTGGCAACTGACACATATATATGACAGTTGTGGTGTCCTGGGATCACCTGATCCCCTTTTGCAACTTTCTGACAAGCAAAATCAATGGGGAAGTCAGATTCACTTCACAACCATGTTACTAACTAGACAACTGCAGTGATTCACTTAGCAACTGTGGCAGGGGTGATATCTAAAAATTTTCCCTACTGGTTCTGTGGGCATGGCTTAATTGATGGGTGTGGCTTGGTGGTCAGGTGACTGGGTGGGCATGGCTTGGTGGTCAGGTGACCGGGTAGGCGTGGCCAATAATAAATAATAAAAATAATAAACAAAGTACACAAAACAATAAGAGGTATCAAAAACCAACTTTTACCCTTTACACACACACAACACAACACAACTGACTCACACACAATGTAAAAGCAACTGCACTTGACCCAAAATGGCCCCTGCAACAAGCAGGAACCTCACACAGCCACAAAAAGCTCAAAAACCAACTTTCACACTTTTTCCACACAAAATGCCACATACAGCTTTGTGAGATTTTGTGTATTTGTGTAGTTAGAGTGAAACACTACAGAAACACACCAAATCTCAGAAACCTGTGCAAATCTTTTATTTTATTGTTTTATTTTATTTATATTTTTAGATAAAAGCAGCTAAATTTAAAACTTCCTTAACTTTAAATTGCTGTCTAAAAAAAAACTCCTAAAAAAATCCCCAATTAATTATTTTTTTAAAGCTCCCCCCCTGTCCCCTCCAAAAAAACTCCAGTTACTTACCAAATTGAAGACACAAGGCAGGCAGGCAGGCAGATTGAGTTGCTCACCGATTGGATTGATTGCAGGCAGGCAGATTGAGTTGCTAGCTGATGCAATGGATTGCGGCAGCCAAAGCAAGACAGGAAAAGCAATTGAGCCGGAAAGAAGAAGCAGACTACCTGCTGCCATCGCTACCAGATTGCCCGATCCAGTCTGAACTGGGAGCATTTTACCCCTGAACTGTGGCAAGAAAGGTTGTAAGATGGGGCAAAACTCATTTAACAAATCTTTCGCTTAGCCACAGAAATTACAGTCCCTCCCTCCCTCCCTCCCTCCCTCCCTCCCTCTCTCTCTCTCTCTCTCTCTCTCTCTCTCTCTCTCTCTCTTATTGACAATACTTTCTTAGGTGTCTAACACAGCAACCTTTGTTTAGACAGTGTTCTTCTTTCTACTTTTTTTTATTTCTTTTGCATTCTGTAGGTAGGTAGGAAAAATATCTATAGACCTTGATCACATGTTTTCTTTGGCCAGGTGGACCTAACTGGTAGGTAATTGCAACTGTAGCATTTTTTGGTTTGAGAGAATTTGTCTGAATTTGTCTGAAGGAACATCTAGGCATTTAGTATTATTTTTCATTAGCACAAACAAAAATGTAAAATAAATGAATAAAATCTCCCTTAATGGCACATCTAGTTGCCACACTGTTTTTTTCACTTACCTGCTGAAAAGGCAGATGCCATCTTTTAGAAGGCAGATTTATCCTACAGGCTGCCAGCTGCTGTACCCTAACAAAGCTGGATGGGAACACTGCTAAATTCTTCTGCTCCTCCCGTATACTACTTTAAGAACTGGATTCTAGTTGTTTGCTCATTTGTTCTATTTTCTCCATCCACTATAATATGTCAATGTAAATAATAGTCCAACTCATATTTTATAGTTAGGAATGTATGCAATAGATCTCCTACAGCCCTAAGAAGCTACAAATATTTTAGTCAGCCACTAGCTGCCTAGATTTCTGACTCAAAGTCAAATGTTACCATAAATATTCTCATCCTGATTTAGTATGGTCAGCTCAGGTTTCCTGGATTCTGAAAACCGATGATGCTGTTGCAATTCTGCTAACCTCAGTCATTCAGTCTTTCTTAATATGAACATGCTGGCATTTGTTTTTGTAAGAATGGTTGATAATCAAAAAGCAAAGAAACCATATTCTTCAAAATCAGATGGTAGGCTTTGTTAAGGATGCAAAGCTCCTGCCTGCTTCAGAGTGTGCCTCCCATCACTTTTAATTAGACAAGTATTTTATGGCGGTGTTGCTACTATTTAGTCTTTCAATTGATAGCGCCTTCCTAATGAAGATCCTTCTTTCTAAAAGTGTTACTTTCATAAATGCTTTTACTGTAAGTTGTCTTCAGAGTCTCTCCTCATGTGGGATTAATGGAAACTTCCTCAAATTGATAGCAAATGTGTTACGATTACAACTTCCATAATCCCAAATACCTTGACCAAAAAGTGATCACTTGGAAAACTGGGAATTCTGGATTCAATAGTCTCATCAATTTTGAGGAATACCATATTGAGGTAGACTGTTATGTCAGAGTTGTCATGCAGTCTTCTCCAACATTACAAATGCTAAGTAGAAAGTTCAGGTTTCCCCTGTCCAGTTGTTTCTGAGTCTAGGAGGTGGTGCTTGTTATGTATGTATCTAATTTGTGTGGGAAATTCAAATGTTCCTTGAATCCTGATTGGTTCTTGGTCACCCCTGTAAAGTATATAAAGAGGACTGTTGCCTGTGTTTCTTTGCTGAAGTCTCACCCTGAATTAAAGAGCTGTTGTCACTAGCCACCTTGTGTCTCTTGTTATTCCCGCGCTACAACATTGACGACGAAGGTGGGATAGAGGCCACAAGAAGCTAACCAAAAGAGCTCGGAGTTTCAGCCAGGGTAACTAGCGAACTCAGAGACACGGCATGTCTGCCTACGTTCCGCCTAAACCCTTCAACCCGACCCGAGAAAAGTGGGGATCATACTTAACCAGGTTCGAGTGCTCCCTGGAAGCTAGTGAGATGCAAGGGCTATCAGCGAACTGAAAACGAGCCCTGTTCTTAAGCCACTGCGGGCCAGACGTCTTCGAGATGGCTGAGTCCCTATGCGAGCCAACCCCAGTCCAGACGGTCCTCTGGGACGTCCTTCAAGCAACCTGAGAGCCCACTATGCTCCAGTACCTTCGAAATTCATACAGCGCTACGAACTCCGACAGCGTGTACAAAAAGAAGGAGAGCCGGTCAGCGCATATGTGGCCGCGCTTCGAAAAGCCGCAATGCATTGTGACTACAGAGACTTAGATGATGCGTTACTTGCCCAATTAATTTGCGGTGTTAAAGACACTCGTTTACAGAGGCGCCTCCTGGCCAAGCCAAACCTAACACTAGCCAGTGCGTTGGACGAAGCCCAAGCACACGAAGCATCAATGAAGGCTTCTGAGGCATTACAGCGACCACTATCAAGTAAAGACGGGCCAAAAACAGCCCCTGTTCACAAAGAAGAGGTGCGAACCAGCACAGAGGAAGAGTCAGACAAGGACGTCTTCCATACAGAAAAGAAAAAGAGCGAGCAAAGCCGCCGCCACGAGAACTGTTCCAGTTGTGGCGGGGATCACGAGAGACAATCGTGTAAATACAGAGACGCCATTTGCAGGCGTTGCGAGAGAAAAGGCCACCTAGCACGAGTTTGCAGAGCACAATTTCCACATAGTCGCAAGCCACGTGACTACCGCGACCAACCAGAACCGGCTCATTCAAAACAGCCAATCAAAGATGACGGCATGCAAAAACGGCGAAATTTCAAAAGCGGGAAACCTACAGCACGAGAATCGGCCAAGCCAGCACAACCGACGATGAGAAAGTCTACACGAAAGTAGAAATTGATGGCAGATCGTGCGAAATGGAAATCGACACCGGATCTACGTTATCGATCATGTCCTGGACAACACTCAAGGCACTCCTGCCCAAGTTCCAGAAAACCCAGCTGGCCCGACAGAAGATTCGCCTCCTCGACTACCAGGGAAACCGAGTTCCTGTAGAAGGTGTGGGCACGTTCCGGGTCACCTACGGCGAGTTCTAGAGAGAGCTGCCCCTGACCATCGTAAGCAAGCCACTACCGAGTCTCCTGGGCATGAAATGGTTCCGAGCCCTCAGCGTGGGCTTCACGGGCGTTCACAGCATCGGCAGCTCATCCCTCAAAGAAACCCTTCTACACGAATTTCAGGACGTTTTCGAAGAGACTCTAGGCAAGTACGTGGGGACCCCTATCTCCTTTAATTTAGACCCCAACGTAGCGCCAATCAGACTAAAAGCAAGACGGGTTCCATTCGCTTTAAAGCCAAAAATTGATGCCGAGCTCGACAAGCTCATTAAGCAAGGGGTGTTAGTTCCCATAGATCATGCCAAGTGGGAGACCCCAATAGTTACGCCAGTTAAATCGGATGGATCGATTAGAATTTGCGCTGACTATAAGTGTTCGATCAACAAGGCGTTGCAGCAGAGCGCCTATCCTGTTCCAATCGTCCACCATCTACTACACTCCCTGGGGCCTGGCAAGCTATTCGCAAAACTAGACTTGCGCAGGCGTACCAGCAGCTGCCAGTAGATGACGCTACGGCAGAATCGCAGACCATAGTAACTCACAGAGGTGCTTTTAAATGCACTAGACTACAGTTTGGGGTTAGCATTGCCCCAGGGCTCTTCCAGAGTACCATGGAGCGCCTTCTACAAGGCCTCCCAGGAGTCGTCCCGTATTTCGACGACGTTCTAATTAGTGCCAAGACGAAACTCAGTTAGGACATAGAGTTAGACAAGTCCTAAACAGATTCCATGAAGCAGGACTTAAACTCAAACGAGCAAAATGCAAGATAGCAGTTCCATCGGTGGAATTCTTAGGCTACCGAATCGACGGCACGGGAATCCACCCCACAGAAAGCAAAGTCAGGGCCATCCAGAACGCGCCCACACCTAAATCGAAGACCGAGCTACAGGCCTTCTTGGGGCTGCTTAATTTCTACACTATGTTTTTGAAGCACAAAGCCACCATTGCGGAGCCACTGCACAGGCTCCTTGGAAAAAACATTCCCTGGGTGTGGGGCAAATGAGAAGTGACGGCATTCAGCGCAGTAAAAAGACTTTTGTCTGAGGACAGCTTCCTCATTCAATACAATTCTGAACTACCTCTAGTATTAGTGTGTGACGCTTCCCCCTTTGGCATAGGCGCGGTTTTAGGCCATAGACTGTCGAACGGGTTAGAGGCGCCCATCACCTATTACTCTCGCACTTTGTCCAGTGCTGAAAGAAACTATAGCCAATTGGACAGGGAGGCTTTAGTGGCTGTAGCTGGGGTCAAAAAATTTCACGAGTACCTGTTTGGCCGCAACTTTGAACTCGTTACGGATCACCAGCCTCTTTTGGGACTTTTGGCTGGGGATAAACCGACCCCAGCTGCACTTTCTCCCCTGATGACCAGATGGTCCATTTTCTTAGCCGCATATTCCTACAAACTGTTCCACCAGCCGGGCAAGACTCTGGGACATGCTGATGCCCTCAGCCAATGCCCCTTGCCCAAACTATTGGACAACCCAACCCCGGAAGCCCCAGTGCTACTCATTGACGTTGTATCCCCGGGGCCCATTTCATCAAGTGAGGTGGCAAAGGTTTCTGCCAGGGACTCTGTTTTGCACACTGTAATGGGCTGGGTGATGCGGGGTTGGCCTACCAAGGTGGACAATGGGGAATTTCAATTGTATTTTAACAAGAAAAATGAACTGTCAATGTTGGGTGGTTGCTTGTTGTGGGGAGACAGGGTGGTCATTCCCACGCGGTTAAGGCACAGGGTTCTTGAAATGCTGCATGAGGGACACCCTGGTATTGTTCGCATGAAAGGCCTAGCTCGTAGCTATGTGTGGTGGCCACGTCTCGACCAGGATGTTACTGAGTGGGTGGGGAAGTGTAGGCCCTGCCAGGAATCCCACCCAGATCCTCCGATAGCCCCCGTCCGGGAGTGTGAAAAACCAAAGGGACCATGGGGGAGGATTCACATTGATTTCGCTGGCCCGTTCTATGGCCAAAACTTC